TTTGAGTCTCAAAATCTGTTTTTGAACATTTCAAAAATCGGATTTTCTATTTTTAGCCGAGAAAGTTTTCGAAAAATAAATTTCTAAACATATGGTTTCGTAGCAAATTTAATTCTCTACAAAATGGCGTATTTGGTTTTGGGCTTCAGCGCTTTAGAAAATTTGTACATTTGCCGACTTAATTTACAGTTTTGGACCTTCCAACCCGAGGTAGCGACTTTATTCTTGCGTATATCGGTTGACTGTAGCACGAATAATTATATGCCTTAGCTGAAGATGTTGGAAAAATTCTTTTTTTTACCATCCGATAGCCCGTTCTGTGCTCTAGAATTTCTGTGCTAAAAACTTTTCATAATGGCCTGTACCTTTGTCGGAATTCACATTTTTGTTGATAGCACTCGAAAAAAAGGGTCTTTTTTCGTATCGTCGTTACGATCTACAAAAACCGTTCTCAAAATTTGAGACTTCATCCAAAAATTTTTATTTTAATACCATAAATGGGGGTCGACGAGCTGCATTGAATGACGTTTAAATGAGCTTTTTAACTATTTTAGTTTCCGAGATAATTTCATTTTAGTGCGTCCAAAACGTAACGCCGTTACGTTTGGAGAAGCCGTACTTTCAACTCGTTTGACTGTAAATATTAGGAAACGGTGGTCTGTACTGCAAAAACCGTATAGCTCCTGTTCCTTTAGCTATAGAATGCTTTGCCAGTTCTCCAGGAAGAAGAAGACGAACAGCTGTTTGAATTTCACGTGCAGATATTGTCGATCGTTTATTGTAATGTAATACACGAGATGATTCAGCTGCAATACGTTCAAATATATCATTAACAAATGAATTCATTATACTCATTGCCTTCGACGATATACCGGTATCGGGATGAACCTTTAAAAAAATACAAAACTGAAAAGACTATGTTCTCATATGAAGTTTAGTAATGCTATACTTGTTTTAACACTTTGTAAATATAAATTGAGTACGATTCCTTTCGTCGACGCTTCACCTTCTTATCAGTTTTGGGAGCACCTATACTTTTAACCGTCTTTTTCGAACCTTTCACGCGTATTGCTTGAGATTTTGGAGGCATCGTTAATCAATAATGGACAACTTGTGAATGATGAAAATATTCTTGTTTTCAGAAAACGGCGTTTTGTTTTATGAATTGTGAAATAATCGGTATTGACGTTTTTTTCCTTGCAACGTGAATTTATCGAGTCGATGTGGACAGAAAAGAGGAAAGAAGTGAGCACGCACCACTAAAGGACCATTCAAAAATTATGAAGAAAAGCAAAATAATTGTCCCAATAAATGTAAAATAACACCTAAATAAGGTCACCACTTGCGTTGTTTCGTCAAAAGGTTAATTTGCTCAACCACGATTGCATGACAGTTTGCATTTTTAAAAGTAAAATCTCAGTTTTATATTTAAAGAACCGTTAATTAACACAGAGAGTTTAAGAAGAGGAAAGACCGAATAAAAACAATATTTACACGGCATTGCACGAAAACCATGACTTACACCGCTCAATCGATATCCGAGTTTCTCACTCAAAATTTTAGCGGCGTAGATAAGGGCAACATATCATAGAAGCTTCCCCAATTTATTTAACTGGAAAATGCTTGCTTTAACAGTTAAAAGTACCATCCATATCTATTGTTATATCCTTTCTTCTAAAATTTCATTTGACATATGGTAAGATTATATCTTACAATATTCATTCCATCATTTTTGGGACACCCCACTGTTCCCAATAGGCTCTCTATGAATATGCTAAAAAATGGAAGTAGCCCAAGATGTATAGCATACGACTAACTATAGGAGTTGTAATACAAATGCCTTCGGATGTGAAAGCTTAATCTTAAGAATGCTTCATTTTCAATTTATCTCAACTTTTGGATGGCCTGCCACCCTAGTAAACGATGTTTTTTCACAGAAAAAGTTAGGCAAAAAGTCCAAAAACTATTAATACATCCTTTATTTTGCAAATATGTACTCGCATATGTATGAGAGTCGAATCCGTACATGGTTTTGAGTACAAACGCTGTTCGATCTCGACCGCTTCTGCTACAAATATGAGTACTTGATTCACTTCCTAGACCGAGATATGACATCTAGAAAACGTAAATTTCTTGTAATAATTTTTAAGGCTTTAAAGAAATATGAATAACAACGCACGCATGCACTCTCCGGTCAAAACATTTGTTGCTCCTATCCGCTCTAAAATTATGAGTGAGAAGTTCTAATACCGATTGAGTAGTGTAGGTCATGAATACTGATATATAATACGTAATACAAAAATGATTTGTTTCTTTTTTTGTTTCTATATTTTTTCCGACATATATATGTACGGTACGAATAAAGGAGAAAACATCCTTGGTACGTATTGATGAACTAGTCCATTTACTTCTTCAATTTAGGCTTCTCATTCTAGTATAAGCAAAATGGAGGCAGAATTTGGTATTATCCTAGTATGCTTAATCAAACCATATGTAGGATTCCAAATCCATTATATTATTTCTCTAAGTACAATGGAAAGATCGTAAGTAAAATTGAACGTCTGCACCGTGATTAACTGTTAAAATATTCATTCGATCAATTTTTATTTCATTGAACACATTCAAATATTTTTAACATTTGAAACAAATAAAGAAAAAAAATAGACAGTCGAAAATTATTTTTATAACAGAAACACCAATAGGTAATAATCGTTTGTCTTCATTCAGTAATTGCACTGATGTGGATACAAAACGACGGTGAGATTCATTCACAGATGAAATTCTATATATCTATCTCATAGTCGTTAATTAATAGTATTATTCTTAAACGTTTTTTTGTTCACTATTTTGATGTGACTGTTCCACAGCTTTATTACTAAAAACGAAGTAACATTTATGAAGCTCTAGATACAATATGAACTATATTTTTCTACTTACCCGTGACATGTTGAATCAATACCAGCATTTACATTTGTACCATTGCTATGTTCATTTTTAGCTTGAGATAAATGTCTATCCAATGGTTGTTGAATATTTCGCTGAGATGATTGATCATCGTATTGTTGTTGTTCACGAGTTGTAGACATTATTTTCGTCAAATAATATTGTTAAAAACAATAGTAATAGTTTGTGCAATAGCCGATTAAATAAAGACAATAGAATGCAGAAAATATGTCCTTAGTCTAGTGCAGAACACAAAACGTTATTCTGTATAAAAAAAAAAAATGATAATTGTCGATGATATTTAGACGTGAATGAAGATCGATATTTTTTTCAGAACGTAAAATGAGTGTAAGATAATTGATAGAATACAAGAAAGAAAAAGACAATTTTTTTGTTAAACTATGTTCAATTTAATCGTTCTATAATCATATCATATATATTCGTCCGCCAAATCAATCTCTCTTGGCTTGCGTTTACAAAAAGGCTGTTCTATTGACTAAAAGAAGAGAGAAAAGGGGCAAAATAGAACGAAACAAAAAGATCGTTTTTCTATTAGTCATTTCCCTACCATACATATTGAATGAAGTAACACCATGTACACACACACACATAAACATCTGTATGTCTAATAAAAATGACATTTTTATAAATTATGAAGAGAAAAACGTATGTACGAAACAAGGCAAAAGATCATAATTTTTGTAATCTTGGAACATGATTAAATTGATGATAATCATTAAAGTATACAACAAATAATTACTAATAATATATCATCAAAACCGAACAAAAATTTAATAATAATATAGTCAACATATTTCTCAATAATTCAAAAAAAAATAATATCTGAGTATCATTGCTGGGGTGGACAGAATATCTGAAGAGTGCGAAATGTTGCAAGTACACAGTAAAGTTTTAACGACGTTTGAATGATAAAGATAGTTTAGATACGGTACGAGAATCAGATTAAAAAACATCGATTTTGTCTGGAACTCGTGCATCATAATTCCTATGGTCATGTATTTAAATCAATTCAACAGATTTAAAAAATGTTTTTGATCGATTCCACTATTAATACAATGGTGTGTTACAGTTAGAATTGAAATATATAAATATAAATTAGAAATAACTCAAATTTTATTGTTCTAAAAACTCATGATTCGAGAGCCATCTGTACATGTAATATGAAATGTTTATTAAATTAAAAATCATAGCGATATGAACATAGGTTTTAAAGAAAATGGAGTACATTAGTACATTAGTAAAAATGTTTTGACTGATAAGTTTGTGATACATAAAAAAACTTCTCAATTATTTGATCCAACTTTAAATAGATAACAAACAAAAATAATATATATATATATATATAGGCAGGCGAAAGAAATTGAACGTGGCTTATTAAAAACTGATAAAGAACAAAAAAAAAAAGAAAAAATTACAAAAAGACTAATAGAGAAAATGATTGCACAATTACAGACAAGAAACAGGCAGATAATATAACCGAGATGACAAAAATAACAATAGATATAGAGCAATCTTAATCAAATGATATTAATGTTGGCTCAGGGGGTAACATTTTGTTCACTGCTGTTTGAATGTTAGGATCAAATGTCAGTGGTGGTTGAGATAATTGTTGTTGCTGATTACCATTCATTTGATGAGAATGATGAAATTGTGATGGTGAAGCTGTTTGTGCAGATGGAGCATGCATGGAGTTTGAAGGTACCATTGCGGGAAGAACATTGTAATTATCTAAACATAGATAAAGACGATTTACAGATATTCAAAAGATATGAAGAATATCGAGAATAATAACAAACAGTGTCTCTTCAAAAGAGAACAGATAAAACGTACCGCCAATTGAAGCTATATAAGGATTTGTTATTTGTTGTGGTTGTTGTATGTCAGTTTTATTTTGTTGTGGTGGTAATTGTCCTGCATATTGTACCGTTGATGGTAAATGAGACAAGGAATAATTTGGAAATTGTGTTTGAGGCGGTATATTTGGATCATACATTGGCATTGGCATAGAATTATGATAGTTACTGAATTGCTGATGTGCTTGTATACCATATGGTAAATGTTGTTCCCCATATTCATACGGTGTCATTAACATCTATGAAAATAATGTGTTCATAAATGAAACGATTTTCTTACATATTTAGAATAGAATCTTTACGCACTTGAGGAGATGCAATCAAACGTGGATTTTGTGACATTTGTTCTCGTGCTAGTGCCAATTGTCGTTGTTGTTCTAAACGCGTTTGCATTTCCCGTTCTTGTTCAGCCAAACGTTGTAAATGTAATTGTCGTTGATATTCAAGATATTCCTGAAAATATAAAAATAGTTGTATGTATGTTGACACTTATTTGTTCATCTAAAACGTGTACACACTTGTTTTTTTTGTCTCATTATATCTAATTTTTGTGCTAATTGAATTTGTCGTTGACGTTCACGTTCCATTGCTTCACGTTGTTTTCGTTCATAATGTTCGGAACGTAAAGCATTTAAGGCTTCACGAGCATCTTTTAATTGGCTTAATTTATCTTGTAAATGTTCGTAATAACCTAAAATAAAAATATTTTTACGATTAAATCATAGAAATACATCAGAAAAAAGGTTCTAAGTTGTATTCTGAAACTGTTAACAACGATCATGATTTAATGGCACTTTTTCCCACTTTGAAAAGTAACCGATTTAGGTTTTGTTGTTTTTGAACCTTCTATTATTAAGTCCTCTCGTACCTCGTTTATTCTCCAATAATTGCATGAAACGACTCATTTCGGGATGAAAATGTTGTAATATAAGAAACACCGATTGAACTGCTGTATCATTTGATATATTTCTACTACGTTGTTGATTACTTAGCATACGAAATTTGAAGTTATTGATATGCTCCTAAAAATAAGACATACGTCAATATTATTTGTATAAACGAATTTTTTTGTTTCCTTACCGTGACTAAATTAACAAAAGCATCGATTTCCTTGTTGCTAACAAGATGATCAACTGGATCCTATAAGTGAACAAAAAAATATAAGTAGTGTCGCACAAACCTTTTTAAACTGCTAGTCTTACGGATAGATTTGTTGCTGCTTCATCATGTCCATTTTGAAATCCATCAGAAGATGCAATAGTTTTTGTTACTGGAACTGTTACTGTTGATGACACAGATTGATTATCAACAACAGTTGTATTTGATGCCAGTGGGGTGTTCGTTTGTTGTTTTTGTTCCCAATAAGAGCGTTCTAAATATTTTGATAATTCACCACCGGCAAACTGGTCTACTTCATTTGGCTCATACTAAAATAAGAAAAACCATCAATGGTGCATGTATCGTAGGACAGAGTCTCACACTGAAAAATTCAAAATTTTCTTACTTGTGCAGCAGGTGTCGAAATTGTGGACGTTAATGGCCTAGATGATGATGTATTATTTGTATTATTCGTATTATTTGTATTGTTATTCATCATTATACTTGATAATGCATATTTTTGTGTTAACATTTTTTTTTGTCGTTCTTTTTCATCCGCTTCACTTTGTGATATAGCTAAAGCTAATTGAAATGCTTCTTCTTCATCCAACTCGGCCTGAGTTTTTGTCTAATAATAAAACCAAAATTTACAATAAAAAATAAAAGATCAGAATTGTTTGCTCAAAAATTCAAATACCTGCGATGTGGATGCAGGCGCTGAAGTGGCTGAAGTTAATGGTTTAAATGTTGATGTTGTTGATGATGAAACAAGTGGTTTGGCAGTTGGATTTGTTTGAGTTATTCCAAACTCACCAGGTGTTGTGGTGCTGTTGAAAAAAGAAATATATATATTAAAATTTTTAAGAGACGTTAGCATACTCTTTAACATCGAAAGAAATAGAAGAAAATTTGACCGGAAAAGAAGATCAAGGAAAACATCAACTCAGACTCTCCAATAACAATAAAGAAAGATTTTCGATAAATTTCTTACCCCATCAATTTGTCGTAACAAGCCACACAAACACGTACATTTTTGTCCATTCCATATTTTGGTATCGCACATTGTTTAGATGAACCTAGACGAAAGACATCTATACGTAGCTTCTGATTAACTGAATAAAAGTTGACACATACATGTGTGGCAAAATATCTCTCCACAATGCCGACAATGATGCTTTTTTAAAAGATAGAAGAAAAAAATAAACAGTTTATAACGTTCAATTTATCTTTTCACAAGAATTACTTTTCGATTAAAGGTTGTAAATTTCTCACGACAACGAAAACATTGATTCGATTCTTTCCATTCGGGTGCTACTTCACTTTCAAAAAACGCTTCTGATTCTTTTAACATTGGAAAACGATAACTTTCTAATTTCATCAAATTGTAAGTATCAGTAAATATTTTATATTGTTGACCTAAAATGAAACTCATTGGATATAATTCGAAGATTTTCCATATAATTTTAGTGTTTCTAACCAAGTCCATGTGACCAACATTGAATCAATTCACACACTTTATCTCGTACTAATTCTGGACCATTCTAAAAGAAAACAATAACAATTTTAACATAGCGTTTACTCGCCATCCTGGAGAAAAAGACCAAGTTTTGTCTTTCGCTCTGAAAGAATACAACAAATAGTTATTTTATTTACTTTTGCCAATTCTCTTAATGCCTCAACAAAATCGCGATTAGCACACTCTTGATGAATACGTGAACCACAATTTTTTGCAACTGATTCCAAACACTAGAATGAACAAAAATTTATTTGTTATACTATACTGTACGAGCTATGTCAAAAAATTGTTGTTTTTTATTACTTGTAACGCTCTCAATGTAACATGTGCATTGTCGGTGCCAAACTTCCTCTTGATTGCTTGTACAGCATATTTTGGTCTGAAACGAACAGAAAAATTTCCTCTTTTTGAAGAGATACTCTTCCTTTCTCATATTGTTTTTACTTACGTTACTTCGCTAGATTTGATAATGTCACACAATTGTAAAACGGATTCCCAGTCAGGTTCTAATAGCAATGGGCTTGTTGTTTTATCTAAACAGAAATAAACATGTTTATCTTAACACCAATCCTCGTTTCTTATCTAATTAAGATTATATTAGTGTTCGACCAAGTTGGAATAGTCTCAGGATATAGAAACATGATTATGTTGAATAAGATATTTTACATTGTTATCGTCTGTCTTAGTGAGGAATCTGATTTATTTCACAAACTTTGTGCAACGTATAGTTTTAACAATGAAATGTCCAAAGCACTTGAAAATGTATTACCTAATAGTTTATCGAATATTTTCATGCTCGTTGGAGTAAAAAGACCCATATTTCAATCTTCTAGCTATTAATCTGAAATGAAGAATTAAAAATAAGTATATAATGTTTTTTATGTTCTTCTATTTTTCTTCTATTTTTTCTTATGCAGACAAACACTAGATAGATGTGATAGCTTCAGATTATTAATGGGACGTGAGACTGTTTAAACGCTATTTTTCTAGATGAAGCTGGTCTGCGAAGACGAAAACGATGAATACCATACTTTTCCGCTTCATACGGTTTTGCTTTTCCTAGAATACATGCAGGTGTAGTTTCCATTGCTGATGTATCTAAATTTCGGGGACAAATTGTCTCAGATGACGTTACAGTCACGGAAACATACCCTATACAAAAAATACAGACAGATCCTCTATATGTAGTTTATCATATACCACACAAAATACATTTTTTTCAACAAATATGAAAACTACATTAATAGAAGATTACAAACAGAGAGTATAGGAAAAAAAATGAGTAAAATAATCGACAAAGTAACAACTATAAAACTTTATATATTTCATTTGACAGTAAAGTTCATTCTGCGATAAATATTCCCAGTGAGGCAAATTTTGCATTCGAACGTTTTTTCAATTTTTTTTCGTATTTTTATCAGAAGAACGTATTCGAACGTGTTCCTAAAAATGAAACGCGAAGCGTGTCACGCTTAGAACGAATGTGTACCTCACTGGGTCCGCTCAATAAAGATCCAAATTTTACAATCTTAACATCAAGTAAACTTTATATATTCTTATCTTAAGCCTTTTCTTTTTAGAGGAGAATATTTCATGGTGACCAACTATCACTCTCTAGAATACGTTCACCTGTTGAATAAAAATATGTGACTCAATCTAAAGTGTCACTTGGTCTAAGTCAATATTTAGTTGATCGTTATATACCCAACAGAAACAATAATGTTCTAATAATTATACTAATAATTCTTTCTCATCTAATCCGCCATCAATTTTATCTAAACGTTGTTTTTCCTTAACATCTACATGTTCTTTATAATAATCATTTAGACTAATACATTGTGTTTGTTGAAAGTTTGTATTTAAGAATCGTTCGCATTGTGTTTGTTTTGTTTTACAAGCTTGAATATCCAATAGATGACAACATCGTTGTTTTAAATTATCATACATAATTTGTCCAAAACGATCAAACATATTTATTTGTTCAAAATTAGGAAAAAAACATGAGAAAAACGTTTGTGTAATATAAGATAATAAATTTGTTGAATTTTCCAATGACATGTAGATGAGAACGCATTCGCTGAGAAAAAATGTTGGTAAATTATAATCAAGACTTTGTTCAATCAATTTCAATTGTTTACTTAGCGATGATATTTCACGTAAATCAACAGGTAATACAGTGTATGTAAACCACCTAGAATCAATACAATGTCTTCTTGATTGTTGATACATAATTTTTCCATTAGTTATGGTGTTCGCCGTATAAGACGTGTTTTTACTTCGGCTATTTGATAAAAATCAATATCAACATAATATTTAACATGAAAATTTGAATTATCTCGGAGATTAAAGTACAGTGTGTCATAGCCACAACCCAAATTAATTATTTGATATTTGATTTGTTTGTCAGATGAATTTTTCTATAAATTTACGAATCGCCGTTACACGAATATAATAGCCAATATTGATTTCAGGTGTTTTACGTTCATGTTTCATTGTAAAATACTTCATATATGGATCAACCCAATATTCACGATCAACAGCATACAGTTTACATGAACTAGAATCGGTGTTTGTTTCAATTATAGCTGTATTATCAATTTCTTCAGTGTTACTCGTCTATAAAATATGGACGAGCTACGTACAAAGAAAAGAATGGAATATGTAAAGAAAAAAATTCTTGGTAGTATTAGTAGAAGAATGCTTCTTTTTAAGAACAAAGATCGATGAGAGAGAGTATAAGGTATAATAAATAGAAGACAAACGGTTCGTGAAAATTATTCTAGTTCTTATGTGCAGTAAAAAACTTTCTGCCATTATAGAATCAATAACAGTAAGAGAAAATGAACTACCATACAAAGCGCAACAACAGCCAATTTTAGGATAAAATAAAAATAAATTAGACACCGAACCTCTGATAGAGCAATAGCTTAAAGGCACGGCTCAATGTCCCTGGTTTCCGTTAGTAGGCAAGAGCGATATCTTTAGGCATGTTATTCCACCTCAAATCATGCAAAAAAAAACAAGAGCTCATTGAATAGAAGAAATAATAGAAAGAGAAACAGCATTTAAAACAATTGATTGCAAACGAATGCAGAAAGAGGAACAGAGAAAGGAATACAACAACATTCAGACACATGAGATTGGAAAAAAGTCAATTTGAGATAGAGTGATGCAGCTTCGAATATGAGAAAATTTAAAAAGATTAGAAAGAGGCGAAGAGGTGCAAATAAGAAAACATCGGTAGAACGACGGATCTAGCAGTTAGGTGAAAGAGCAAGAGACAGATCATTAATTTAATTAAGAAATAGCACACTACCTTGCAAAGCGCCGGAAGAAATAGAGCTATTCACACGCATACATTGGCAATGATTAGACAGATAAGATAAAAGTGGTATCTAGTTGCACATCTTCAACTCGACGAACACTCGTTTGTCTTGAGAAGCAAAAGTTTCTCTTTTACTCTACAAATTGCTACATCATGTTTATCTTTGATTTCGTTTGATTCGAATATTTCTTGGCATTGTTGTTAACGATCTGAGTACATTGAGAACAGTAGTGGATAAGTGTTGAATTGATTCTAATCCTTTCTGCTACATTTTATTGGATAAATTCAAGGCTTCTTTACCCTAACCCTGTACTAGATCAATGTATAACTGGACCCTGTACAGCGATATCTTGTCTTCTTGATGGAAAACCGCAACCACTTTCCTATATCATTTCATCGTCGAAATATTTCAACTAATCATGTCTATAATTTCATTTCACCGTCTAAATCAAGACTGCTTCTCAATACTGCATCACAGAGTTCTTGTGTCTTTGATAATATTTCAAGTTCTTCACATGGCACATTGAGCGAATATATCATTCGGCTTTTTTGTTATCGAATGGACTTTTCTTCTCGCATCATAGTTTCACTGTTAAGAGTGACATTCAATGTGTATAAATCAGTAATAAATCCAATTTGTAGTTTTCTTCAACTGGAAACATCGGATCGATTGTACAACTGCGCAGTGATGATTGATTCATTAATATATTCTGGTAGCTGATTCAAATTTTTCTTCTGCTTTTATTAAATGAACTATTCGATGGTTTTAGACAGCATATTCGTAATATTTTATGTCATCATCGTGCTGTAAGTACTCACATCTAATTTGACGATTTTGTCCGAGCGTTACTCGAACATTTTGTATACCACACCGAAAAAATATGTTAATGACGGCAATCGTTGTATAGAATATAGACACAGAACAGTGGATTTAGTTTTGCAGTTTACTGCAAAGCTAAGTTCATATGTTCGAATCTCTATTCGTAGAAAATTGATTTTGTGTTTTTCGATAGTTTTAGTTTAGAATACTATAATGGAATATTTTTCCGCTCCTATTCTGAAGCTTATATCAGTCCACTAGTTACATCAATAAACTCTCAAGAACAAGAGAATATTTTTATGTTGCTTATATATTCATGCTTTTTTTTTGTTTCAAATATACAACCTTTTCTCCAAAACGTTGATTCCGAATAGTTCTTCAAAAACACTAGTAACAATGTGATGATTGCTACTCATTTCTAATATAATTTACCTTGAATCTATTCAAGTATTTATAGTTGTGACTAAGATTATCTGGTTGTAATCAATGCCTGACTCATAAGGTTGGTGAGTCAAAACTTGAGATTCAAGAAAATGTAATCTCTTCTTCTTGTCATCAATAACTTATTCAACAGCAAAGTATAGTTTATTGTATAGGGCCTAAGAACGTATATTCAGTGTTGTTAGGAAGAGCGCCTATGCTTTTGCTTCGTAAACTGATTAATAGAAACACTACTCTCGAATGTACTTTGAATATCTCGTCCAACAAAAAAAATAGAAACAAAGAATAAACTAAAATACAAGATGTGTGCGCGTCTTGAGCATGCACTAAGATCAGCTCTCTTATTGGGTTAGAACATCAGCCAACCAGACTAAATCATGTAAGGAGTGCATTACCAGATCAAGTAAATAGAAAATGCCATTTGTTGAGACATCTCTGCGGTTTCGTTTTCATCAATGGCGTTCGCCGAACGCGCTGAGAGACATTATAAAGTTTTAGGCTTTCATTACTACGTCATGGCTAGTTTTTTGTGAAAAAGAGTGAGCAAACAAAATTTACATTTCAAATTTGTGTTTCCTAATTGCGATACTTATACTTTTGTTTGAGTACATTGCAGGACGATTAATGCAGTAGAAGATGGAAAGAGAATTTAGACAGTATGCTTTAAAAGAAAATAACTAAAAACATATCTTTCTTTCGCTGAAATTGTGTTGAATAATCTGTTTTCATTGCACTCTGACAAGTTTTCGGACGGTACGTTTATAAAACTATCCCTAGCGTTTGTGCCCTGGAATATAAGCAAAAAAATACAGACCTTATCATTATATAAAATGTGATTTTTGTGTGGATCGGATTGTTCCACTTTAGATAGAAGATCAATGTATCCCGGCTATGATGTGTCTTCTATGGCCGCTCCAAATCGTGCAATTGGTTTTGGTTTCGATAATAATTATTTGTATCAACCTGGACCAGTTGCAAATGGTCCAAGTGGACAGCGACCTTATGCATTCCATAAACGAAATGAACGTATTGATTGGCGCCGAATAGGTATTTTCACCTCAGCAATGTCATTTGCCTTTACTTAGTTCATTCAATTATTTAGCTGCATTTGATGTTGATCGTATTGCACGTGAAATGGATTTTCAAGCACTACAAGAAAATCTAGAACAAATAACATTCTGTAATATTGACGCTGAAGTGGTGGGTAATCGCTGTCGATGAATATTATGAATTCGATTGGTATATTGTGCTCATCGCGTTGAATAACACAGTATACAGTACTCCACAAAAGTATGCGACACCTCAAGAACCACGATAGCTGATAATTTCCACTTTGATGTGATCGTAGCTCTCACTGAATGTTGATCACCCACCAAGTTTAAACCTCCTTCACTGGATGGTTCGTGAGATATAAGCAACACATTTCTTTTTCCTTAAATGTCAATAAGTCCTGATCCAAGAGAGATGGAAACTTTTTCTTATATACGGCATGAAGTTCGTGCGTTGGCTGTTAATAGTCAGTGAAATACAGTTACGGGCGAGCGTCTCTTCTTTTTTGTTGAATATTCGGGATTCTTTGCGAAAAAAATTTACAATTCAGTCTAGGAGTATTATTTTGACTTCAAATTCGCACCAAAGACTCTACGGTGTCTGTAGACTATTAGTCAAAGTATGAAAGTTAACTATTGTATGGTTCTGGAAATTGATTGAAAACAACTGAAACATACGTAGAAGGACGAGGGTAAGGAGCTAAGTAAAGGGCCTCTCTACTACAGAATCTACATTCAAGGTACACCATAATCATGAAAAAATAATCATGAAGAATTATGGTTTCGAAAAAGTTAGGTGAAACTTTTCTCAGAAAGATTACACATTCACCTCTAACTTTCGCCATTTCAGTTATTTTGCATCCTTTTCACTTGTCGTATAGTTCCAAGAGGAACTAATGACATACTTCAGATCAGCAGGCAAAACTGGGTCGAACAGTATACTAACACTCGGTTTTTGCACAAAAAAAATTCCACTGAACATTTTCTCTCTGGGTTAGAGGTGAATGAGTAACCTTTCTGAGAAAAGTTTCACCTACCTTTTTCGGAAGTCTAGATCTCCATGATTATTTTTTAATGATTACGATGTACATGAATGTAGATTCTATAGTAGAAAGGGCGACCCTTAATTCCTCACCTTCACCCTTTTGCGTATATTTTTATTTTATTTTTATCTACATTTTAGACGATTTTTCATACGATTAATCATGCGCTTAATCGCGATTAATTGCCGATTTTTTTCTGCATACTAGGTTCGAACCCATCTACATATTTTAATAATACATATTTCTTTCTGTTTTTTCATTGTTTATTATTTATAATGACATGTACATCGCCCAGCAACGGTCTGAGCACCAGCTGAAGTCGGAGCCTTTCCGAGTCGATTTTAGACATTGCCCAGATACCAGCTGTTCACTGGGCTTCTCTCCTTAAAGCTCTAAGAGGCCATACAGAAGACTCTTGACAACTCTATTTTACTCTAAAATAAAAAGATGATCTAAATAGAAGTATATTTCTCGTTGAAATCGTGTTTCTTATATACATACTTTACTGCAAAATAAAACGGTGAATAAAACGGTGATATATTGTTCGATCCTAGCTTCGTGCAAGGATTGATTTTGTGTTTTGATAGTTTAAGTTTCAGAATGATATAATGGGAATTTATATTCTCGATTTCGTTCTGGTTCAAGATTAAAGCTTAAACCAACGGTGAATAACCATTTAATCGCTGAAAATCAGCAATTAATCGTAATTAATTTGCGATTTTTCAAGAATCGCAATTAATTGTTAAAAATGCCGCGATTTTGTCGACATGGGATGTTTCAATCGTGGATGCCCGTTCTCAATGAATGTCTAGAACCATACAATAGTTAGCCTTCTTACTTTGACTAGAGAATCTACAGACATTGTAGAGTCTTTAGTGCGAACTTGAACTCAAAATGATGCTCCAGTTATCATGATTCTTGAATTACAGGGATGTCGCTACTATTGTGGAGTAGAATAACTGAAAGGAGATGTCCTATCCTTAGAACCAGGTAGAAGTTAAGTCTTTTCTAGTTTGAACGTGGCCAATATTTTTATAGTTTTCTAAACATTATATCTTGTAGGATACACGTGCTATAGATCCAAACTTTGTCAAATTATTCAAAATGGCACAGTTGACAATTGACTATCTGCTGGTATGTGACGTTCTGAATATCAAAGTAAAATCTAAGAAAGCAGAGAATATATTTAACAGTCGTATGCACAATACCTAGACACTTGTACCAGCGCAACGCTATCTTTTGGAGATGATATTGAGAGAACTCCACCTTCCCCAATTTATTTTCTGTTCGGCTATGCCACCGAAGACAAACGAATTAATATCGGTAACATTTATAGTTTTTTTCTTCATGTTCGTCGAATTGACCTATTCCTTATAACAAAATGACTCTGTGGTCTCTTTTTCGTTTCTGATTGCGAGAAACGAAACTGATTACAAATTTGTTAGTGAATTGATTTGAACTTCTAATACTTTTGAGTAATGTATATGTCGTGGCAAAAGTACAGAATTAGCGAATCTATAGAATCGTCGGCCATTTTCTGAACTCTCGAAGAGAATCAGAGAAAGTGCAGAATAGAATATGAGCTTCACCAGGAATGTGTATAGTAGATAAAAACATCCTTCGGATATCAATTGTAGGCTCTAGACTGGAAGCTTTTGGTCTGTTGTTAAGTCATGCGTTCGGAGGAGGGAAGATGGGCTAGGATAGAATGAGAGTGAGACGGAAAACTGACATATAATCGAAAATTGTGTTCAGCGAATATAAGAATACAGAGTGACAAATCGCTTTCTACTAGTATTGTTACGCAGCTTTAGTCTGGCTGTTGTAGGGGTCCATTGAGCTACTCCTGTTGCACGGAATTTAATGGAGTCGATGTGAGCTCTGTCAGAAATAAAGAGTTGATTATGATTGTGGCTTATGTATGTAGATGAGACTGAAATATATGCGTATTGTTTGTAAATGCTAGAGGTATAGATATTGTTGCTGATCTAAAGTGGTCGATGTGTATGTTCAGAATTGAGCCATAGTGTTTGACTAATGTAATGATGAAAATACGATACAACTGTTCTAAGAAAGAGGTGACTAGGATGGTGGCAATTGTTTTTGACTGAAATTGTACTGCTCATCTTTCTTAATCTTTCTTTTTCACACTGAGAAACTTAGAGCTCATAATTATTGCTTGAACCTTTCTGATAGCTGTGATCATGTTATGTAGGAAAAACTTTAAGATTTTTCACGAGAATGATTTTCTGTTGTATTCAAACAGTGCACAGATGCGTTTATGATATAGTAGAGTTTACTAATGAAAAAAATGGAAAAAATCAGAAAAGATAGTAACCCGGTTGGATGGTGAACGTAGAACTGATGACAACACAAACTACTAGCATTGTTTCAACGGTGCAAATGTCCAATAATATCTACTTACATTGATGTTTATCGCTCTCATCATTTTCAGGTATAATTAGACTTCTATTAATTGACTATTTCCATTCGATGCTGATTTTAGATGTTCGGGTTCATAGTTACATTTATCAGAAACATCAAAAATTTTCAATATTCAAATTCTAACTTATTTTAGCTATGTCAAGAGCAAATCTCAGCGCAATTATCAGAATTTTACCTAATAAAAAACAAAAGTGCCGTGGTATGCCGTAATAGAATTATCTGTGAGACAGTTAAAATTCTTTATTGTCAATTTTCGTAGGAAGGTGAAGACGCTAGACGTCAAATTGAAAAGTTGAAAACAGAACTGAATGATGTTAAAAAAGAATCGAGAAAACGACGAAAAATGTTAGAAACACAACAAAATATGTTATCAGCCCAAAATTATAATTATCATGTTGTACGTATTGATGATTTATGACGATTTTTTTTTACGCTTACTTAAGTTGTATTAATTTCTTTTGGTTCTAGTGTCCAGTATGCTCAAGAGCGTTTCTAAACGCTGGATTTCTTCAAGCACATTTGGAACGTCGTCATACAGGCGTAGATGTTAAAAAACGAGAACATGATATTGATTCAGAAAAAGAACTTCAACAGTTGAAAGAACAAATTAGAAAAAAAGAGGAAGAACTGATGCTTCTCCGGCTTTCAAAAGTAAATATAGTGAGACATACTTTCTTTTGAAATAGCCACACATATTATTCTTCAAATGACAAGCTACCACTTTATGAGGGAAGATCATCAAATGTCCCGTCGTTTTTGACATAAAAGACATGTAGATATTTGCAAACAATGGTGCTGATTCCAAATATCATAGCGAGGAGTGCTCATAGGCCTTTCTTCTAGAAAGCTCGGTCTCAAAAAAATTCGGTTTTGATCTTGTCAGTTTGTAGAAGACGTTGAGTTATCTATGTGAGAAGGTTTTCATGACTATCGGTTGAATTCTGACAGTTATAAGCAGTTTAATTTTTTGTGTATTGGTATTATCGCATAAGCGTGAGGTTTTCTAGAAGAATCTGAAGAAGTATAAAACGTTCTTGAACCCTCGAATATAGTCAGGCTAAATCTAGAAGATTCTCTAAATCAATGTCTATTTTGAAAACTGTTTTTTTTCGTAAATTTTGCTGTATCTGAAATTAAACTGCTTATAACTGTCAAAATGCAACCATTAGTCATGAAAACCTTCTCACATAGATAACTGAACGACTTTTACAAACTGACAAGATTAAAATCGATTTTTTTTTTAAAGAATGGTCTGGGCCTAGAGATTTGGTTTTCTAGATCCAATCTCGAATGGCCTATGGGCACTCTACTCTATGATATTTGGAATTTGCAAATATTTACACGTCTTTTATGTAAAAAGCGATGGGACACTTGAAGATCTTTCCTCGTCAGAATGTTTGGCATGTGTTAAAGCTGATGGCGTTTTTCTGACAATATTTGTGGGAGATTGTTTGTTGTTATATAAGCTTGGAATGTACGTTAGCCATTATTAATGTCAGCAGTTCAGGAAATTTTCGCTACGACAACCGTGGGACACTCTTATGCTAAAACAATTTTTTTGTTTTAGCAAAGTGATGAAGATCGATTGAAAGACAAAGACGGGATAATACAAAGACAAAAGGTACATATTCATAACTGTTGAAAATGGCTATAGTCTTTTAATAAGAAATCTTTTTCTGTTGATAAAAAAAGGACGAAATTCAAGCAGCTCAGAAAAGATTAGACGAATTAAACGAGAAATATCTGACATTACGTACGGTATGTAATGAACCACTGTTGTTTATTTTCATTATTATCTCATGTTCACTTCATTGATAGAGCGGACAAGGTTCACCTCGACGTCGCGACGCTGGCGTAACAGAATTATTAAAAGAAAATAAAATTTTACGAGCAGAAAATGACAGTCAGGTACGACTGGCGGACAAACCGAAAACGCTAGATAACTAATCATATATAATACATGTTTTTCAGAAGCAAACTATACAACAATCAGAGGCAAATTATAGAAAACGAGAAGAAAAACTTATTCGAAAACATCAGCGTGAAATTGAGAGTGTAAGTGGTCCTATTGGTAAAGATAATTTTATTAAAATTTTAATTAATTACTGTGATGATACGATAGCTCTTCTTTGCATTATTGGTATTTGTTTTATAAATCATTTTTCATTAAATTTAGTATAAAAAAACAATTCAAGATTTGAACGATACAATTAATATGCTTAAAAATTCGGGTAGTGAAACAAGTGATTTAGTTGATAAACTGAGTAAAGCTGAAAAGGTAAGTACAATTTCAAAATTGTTTAAAGATCTATATATGATTTCATGTCTTACTGATTAGCATTATCGAGAAGAACGGTTACGGCGAAAAGAGTTGGAAGATAAATTGAAAGAAGCTAATGATGAATTAGCACAATTAAGAAATCGTCCACCGGTTGATCATCGAAAACCTATTCCGCCGGTGGCACCAAGAAATCCTTCACCGGCACCATCACCTCAACTCATAATACGTCCAAGACCAGTTGACTTATATCTACCACGATATTGCGGAGGATTGATTAAAAAACTAAATGAAAATCCAACGTACTTGCATAAATTTCAAGAAGAAGCACGAAATGAATTTATTGAGGAAATAGAAAATCAAAAATATTTAGGTATATCACAGGTAATGCATTACATATGGATATATTTTTTAGAAATGTATGTTATAATATTTTTTTTCCAATTTTTAGAATGATACGCGTCTTAATGATCTCGAATACAAGAAGAAGATGAAGCTAGTATTAGATACAAGAGCAACAATTCATCACGTGAGCATTACCTCGTTATATTGAAATAAACTTTTTAATTTAACCTCTATTTTATCAAGGATTTGTCCAACTTCGGTCGTATACGTGAAGACATAAGTTCGTTACTTGATAAATATGTTCATGAGCGAATGGAAATGAGTCGAACAGGAAATTCGAGTATACGTTCGTCTGGAGGTAAATTAGTAACATTTGAAGATGAAAAACGACCAAGTCGACCACATTCGTATGTTCCATCAATAACTACAACTCATTTTCAACAACCAGGAAGTAAAAGCAGTTCAGGTCACCATCATCCACATCGGTCAACAGAAACAGCGACGACTGTTCAACCAAAAACAAGACATGACTATAGTAAACCATCAACTCAATTACCTTATTCTACTATTAGTCAAATTGTGCCGAATTCCAATAGATACAATGAATCTCCAGAAGAGGATGTTAGCCTGCCGAGTACAAGTGAAAATAGTGACGAAGATACTCCGCCCCCTACAACTCCAGGTATCGATATACAACCATCTCCGAGAAAAAACATTCCCACTACTAGTCTTCCGACTATAACTACGCTGGTAACATCGAGTATGAAACCATCAATAGCGCGACAACCTGTACATATACCAGAGTCAAATAAATGGTCGGAGGAGAGGTAAATTATAACAGAACACTGTCAACGTGTCTCGTTTTATACGGCAACTTCTTTTAGTGAAAGTGAAAGTCCAAGACCAGCTGGTGTAGCTGATAAAACAAAAATTATTGAAAAAAAATTAATTGATTCACGTTCGAAAGCACAAAAACCATCCATAGGTGCTATTGCTGTTGGCTTCCATCCTACTCGTGAAACATTAGCCACACACGTATGTTAAATAAATAGATGATTCTGATTAAATTTCAATAGTTTGTCATCGTATTCTCCTTTAGAATGATGATGATAGTGATTCGTCTTTAACAACAATTGATCAAACAGATCAGAATCGTGTGGGTGGGGGACATTTACCACAAATATCGTAAGCATTATTGTATTTAATTGTTTGGTATCAACAGTCAGTGTGTGCTATATAATTTGATCTTATCTATGAATTGAAAAAAATATTCTTTGCTAGTGGGAAAACATCTTTAGGATGTTTCTTTAGTTAAAATTGTTTTTAGACAACATTCTATAAAAGCACGTAAGACACAAATATGCTTCTATCAATTAACAACTTATAAACCAAAACAATAGCTAGTTGTTTTCACTAACATACATATATCTTATTGATAATTATTAGTTTTCATATTTTATCTTGTTTTTTTTGGACATAATTTGTTTGTTAGGGCATGCTCATTAGAATATTTTTAAATATATTTGAATGTATTATTTGTTGTTAAATATGCTCTTTAGTGATAGTATAGTCATGTATAGTTAATAATGAATTATTTTATAAGTGTTTTCTTTATCTGTCTTGTACACAAAGAAGTGTACTTGTTCACATTTTGTTCTTGGTTGTGAGAAATTATTTAACTTAACTCTAGTCGTATGGTGTGATATGATATTTAAAAGTCTTTGATATTCATTTAGTTTGTTTTAGTGTGTCGTTTTACAGCATTGACTCAAGACAATTCTAGAGATGTTTTAAATCAATGCTTAATTAAAGACTACGTTTCACATAGAATTGACACAAATCTAAAACAAAACAATGACTTAAGTTAACACTTACGAGAGACTAAGCCATAGAATCGAAGATTTTATCTAAGAACTATAACATAAAAATATTTACACTTTTCTCAGACTGTTTTGAATCGATAAGACGTGCATGTAATATTAGATATATCAGCTATTTTCAAGATCTTAAAGCCCTTCTCTTGCTGAAACGTATAAGCAGATGGCAAATCTTCGAGAAAATTAACGTTTTTATGTTGTATAAACACTCTTGATTATCCTTGGAAATAGAACCAGATAGGAACTTCCTTTTTTAATGTTTTAGTTTCAGCGAAAAATAAACAAAACAAGCAGCCCAATTTTTTTGTCATTTATCAAAAGTTTTATTTTGCAAGTTTTTTTCCACTAGAATAGTTAGCTTGGCAAAATGCACTTAGTACACATACTCGTAGCTCTTTTATCTCCGATTTAATCAAAACAAACCACTTCAAATTTTCATATCTTTTAGTATAAAATCTTGCTATTATTGAAAATGATTGATTTTACTCAGTTTTTATGCTCTTCCGAATACAATGTCACTCGAAAAAATTGATGAAACACTAAAGGATACGCTATAAAAACGTTTGTTTTCGCATTAATTCCCATTCTCTTATCTTCAATGTTCATTGTTTTGATGAGAGAATGGCTTTTAGATCTAGGAAAAAGCTTGTGTCTCGATTATCAGTTGGGGATAGTCCACAGTTGCAACCGGTCTAAAAATAAGAGACCGGATCGGGCCGGCCGGTCCAAAACAGCGGAACGAACTGGACCGGTCGGCCACCGACTGGTCCAGAAATCGGTTTGGACTGATGAAAAACCGGCAAAAGATCTGCCGGTTTTCAAAAATTCCCTAGACGGACATGAGGGTAGAAAAACTCATTTTTTCCTAGTGAAGGAGAGAAAAATGCTAAGAATTTAAAAACTGATCAATTACCGGCTGGTTTGAAAATCTTTCTAAACCGAAAAGACCGGTGGAGACCGGTCGGTCTAAACTTTTACACCGGATCAGACCGGCACCGGAACGGCTCCGGCTCGGTTACAACTCTGGGATAGTCTAAATTTTTTTAGAGTGGTATTTCTCAATGCTCTTAGAAATTGTGTATTAAAATTTTCATTGAAATAACATGAATTAAGTCAATCTTTAACTAAATTATATTAAGTTTAAGAATATTAATGAAACAATTTCTAGATTACATAAGACTTGTTTTTGGCACTAGCATCACCACTACTTCACACAATTAAATTGTTTCAACAATTATTTTCATATTGTTATTTAACCATGTAAATAGAGTTTTCTACTATGTTTGAGCAGAATATTAGCTAGCTTATTCTCAAAAACCAAGTTTTTTTCTTAAATGGTGTATTGTTGTCGATATAGAACACTGCATATTTATACAAATGATTCATGTGAGAGATAGATTAATAGAAATAGCACCTCGTAATATCAACTAGTTGTAGACAATAATAAGCTGTACACTAACGTCAAATCAAATAAATATCAAATTTAATCAAAAAACTTTATTTATAGTGGTCGGGCGCGTGACCGTCAAGTAATTACGAACAATAACTATCATTCATCTGCTGATGTGTCACATAATACGTACGATGATTTATATAAATCTCAATCGAAACCTGATAAAGGTATTGATTTAAATTATTTCTTCTTCTTTCTTTATGAGTGTGTTGATTTTAGGCGTTGAACGTCGACCACCAACGGCTGATAGTGCAAAAACATCTAATTTTGACTCTGATGTTGATCTTGAAGATTATTAAAATTGGCTTCTTTCTATTTTTCAGAATGAGAGTTTAATCTCATTTTAATTTTCAACCTCTATTTCATGCTGCGTCTGTGTCTGTTTTTTTGTTTTTAGTGTTGCGTTCGCTAGAGTACCGATGAATAGTTTGTTTTTTGAAGCAGTTTTATTGACTCCTTAAATAATATTGGATTTTTGCGGGTTATGTTGAAAATACTTCTTTTATATGTATTTTAAAATGATTTGTTACTGATGTTCATATTTATATGTGCGTATTTATGACACTTGTTCTTCTTACTTCTATAGTTAGATTTTATTAATTAATTAATATGGTTTTATGCTATCAATTTGAAAATAATATAGAAGTTTTTTGCTTTCAATTTTAATTTTATTTAACGACTTTTTGGAAAGCAACAAACATTTTTGTCTCTGATACAGTTTTAATTTTGCGAGCACAGTTGTGCTTGATTTGAAAACTTACTGAACATCTTGATAATTACAAATTGCTAAACATGTATTGGATAAAACACACCTCGTATGACGTACATAGTGTTTCTTAACATTTTTGCTACACATAAAGTAAATTACCAATTTTTGAATTAGTTTACCAATATTTTTTAAAAACAGCACATAAAATTTTCAACTAGAAGTCATACCAAAAACTCGTGTGTTTTGTGTTATTATGTCAGTTTGAACTGACATAAAAGAGAAAATACGTGGTTGGTTTTATTGAGAGCAATGAACAAGATTTCGAATCTCTTATCAGCTTTCTGATCAAATGTACACTATCTGAGAACGTTTTATATCTGAATCTTAGAGAAAATCTGGACCAATGAAATAAACGCTTTGAATCTGGATAAAAAAACGTACTATCTAATAGTAAATTGACTGTTTGTGGATTTGTGATCGTATCAACAATCTCAAGTCTGTGTTTTAGATGCTGCATTTATTACTTTTTATGAAAACAGATCGTCGTAAAAGGTAGGTTTGGTAGAAGAAAAGTTGAAATGTTTGAGTGTAATAAATATTGAACAAAATAGCATCGTCTTCTAGTATTTCTTTTCTTTTTCATAGATATTCAATCAATTTTTAACTTTAAGGGGTATGTTTAGAAATTAATTATACCATTTTCGACGTGAGATATATATTTTGTAACACTAAACGAGACAAAATATAAAAACTAGAGTTAGACGAAGAAAAGTTACATGAACAAATAAATTGGTTAAGTTTCAATATTAAATGCCAGTGTTTCTATTCTGATGATAGTTAAAAAAACCAAGATCATTTTCATGTTGTACTAATGGCATTAGAACCATATCTAGAATTGAAATCATTACAATCAAAAGTTACTGTGTTAGGCAATAATCCAATTAAACGTGAACTTGTACTTGGTTTTGAAGATGGATCAGTACAAACATTCGATCCTGAAACAGGTAGAAGTTTGAATAATATATTGAATGACTAATGGTTCAAACTGAAATATTCATTGGTTTGATTATACACTCACTTTTGTTCTTTTTCTAGGTAATCTTGTGACAGATTGTTATAAACACAAAGGTTGGGTTACTGGATTAGCTTCATTACCAGAAGCAAAAGTTTTTTTTTCAACTGGAAATGATTCCACTCTTGTTACATATAATGGTGAGTACATGTATTATAACAGTTAATTACTAATCTAACTAATTATTTTTAACAAAAAACAAAAGAACGTCGTATCAAAAGAAAATATCAAGAATTACTCTTCTAGCTATTGGTTTCGTTGTTGATAAACTATACCTTGGTGCTGTGGCTTATTCAATATGTTTTCATTCTCGTTTGAAACAAATTATATTCGGCATACCGAATGGTAAAACGATTCAATATAATCAGTTAAAACTATTCACAGCACTTGCTTATAACTAGGTGTTCAATTTCATGAATATGAATTAAATACTATAAATGGTCGGATAGTTAAAAATGTTCCATTGTACGTTATTTGTCAACACGAAGACCTTGTTGTTGGCGTTATTATGTTAGATAAACTGTACAGCGTTGGTTATGATAGCAAATTGATTATTTACGATTGTCCATTTGGTGATAATCCATATGTACATAAAAAACTTAATCATGCCCATGATGCCGGTATCACGTGTCTTATAGCAAAAAAAGATACTATTGATAATAATAATGAATGGTTAATGACGGGAAGTTTCGATAAGTCAGTAAAAGTATGGAGTTTAGATGGAAAAGTAATCTTTAAATTTGTCGATTTTACACAACCGGTAACTGGATTAACTTATGTACACTCAACAAAAACTGTTTGGATAGGTCAATATCACTTTCATGCATTTTATTTTAAGTTAAGGATTAGTTGTTTTTTAGCTGCTGGTAATAGTTATGCACACGTGTATGATCCAAAATCTGGAGAGAATGTATCAGACTTTATTGGTAAGAGAATGTTATTTATATGTTTGTTAAAGAACAAAATGAGAAATGATCACGGAAATAACATGCTTTTGATCTTGGTTGATAAAATTTCGAAAAAAACATACAAAAGATATTGGTTACGAAAACGAAATCTTTTTGTGCCAAAAGCGTATAAAAGATCATGGAAAAAAGCATGTAATATATCTTGGTTCATCTGTATGACCGGAAAACATGATTTAGATCTCAAAAATTGTACATATTGTACAATGATTTAGCGATGCAGTTGGTCGAAATGTATTTCGAGTTTGAAAAGAATATCAACATATTTACTAACTAGAAATGTACGTGTTAAATAATACCGTCATCAAGGAAACATACCACATCATTTGACAATCTATGTTCTTCTTTATATTAGCATATACATTTCTCCAATTAGTACTAATGATAATATGTCATCACACAAGTTCGAGTGTTTCGCTGTCTATTTTCATTTTCCCTTTTTTTACCGTTGCTCGACCATGATAGCTAGGGACTTCTAAATTTGTATGATCATTGTTCTCACCGAATGTTGATCACCCACAAATTTTAGGCTTCTTTTCCCAGGTGACTCGTGAGATATAAGCGTTTCATTTCTTTCTCGTAAAATGCTAATAACTCCTGACCCAAGAAAGATGAAAATTTTTTCTTTTCACTAAACTGTAGTCAACACTCTCTTCTATCTATGGTATGAATTTGAAATGTTAGCTTTTAATAGTCACTGAAATACAGCTATTTTACAACTGAGGGTCACTGTTGAAGTTTGAGTTTCTCTTCCAAAAAAATTCATAACTCAATCTAGAAATATTATCTTCACTTCAAAAATGCATCAGATACTCTAATATGTTTTTAGATTATTCACACTAAGTATGAGGACTAATCTGATTGCATGATTCGAGAAGTTCATTGAAAATGAGATTTACTATTGAAACATATATAGGAAGGCAAGGGTGAGCAACCAAGGGTCGTTCATTCTAGTATACCTTCTGTGATTAATGTCCGTCATGATCATGTAAAAATATAGTAATGAAAACTTAAGGGAAAAATATCCATATGTAAAATATTGTCAAGGAGACTTCACACTCACCCTAATCTCAAGTCATTTCATTTATTTTGCGTCTTTCTCACTTTCCATGTACTTGTAAGCAAAATTAAAAACATATTAGAGATCAGTAGACAAAACTCCATCGTCGCATCTTGATATCTTTTTGCATTCGAGAGTTATCGGCAATTAGGAAACTTAAAAAAAGTGTTCTGAATTCGGGACGCTGGTAAACAAAGGGTTAAATACATGAAGCTGGACATTTACTGGAAAACTAGCATAAATTAGATGGAGAATAAAGACAGTTTATGCACTCAAATATTGTGAGATCTAAAGCATGTTTATCTTAGCATAAGCCTAATCAGATTTTTTCTCATGATTTAATCAATGATTTTTCCATAGAAAAACTTAGTTTTTGTAACCGAGATCTTTTACCTGATTTTTCTTAAAAATTTGTCAACCGGAATCGAAAGAATGGTATTTCCGTGATCTTTGAAGCTCACGTCCTTTGTTAATAACATCGTTTATTAAAGAATTTGCTTGTGACTTATCTCAGTTACGACTCTCTGAAATACAAGAGTACTTTTGAGAATAATTCTTTTTCTAGATACGTGTGTTAATATGCAAGATACAGAGCAACGTCACACCTATTTTCTGGTATTACTACGCTATTTTCCTGAATTAAATGTCTTGGTAGCATCAACAAATCTGAAACATTGTCTTGCATGGCGTTACAATAAGAACGGTTGTATATCATGTCTAAAAGTACAATCACCATTAGAAAGTGTTTGTTATACAAAAAAAATCCCTATATTAGTAAGTGATTATTATCGCAGTTCATCGTCTACTTATGTTAACTAACTGATTTTAAAAGTGTGCAGAATACGAATTTTTAGTATTCTATATCCTACGTTTCTGGCTTTTTAAACACCCTAATCTAACACTACGTAGTGGACATTCTAGTATTGAGAGAATACAACATTTCTTTTCGCTGAAACATTTTGGCTTTAACAGGCTTTATTAGGATTCAGTAGCTCAGTTTTTTCGAAAAAATACGAAAGATAACAGGAAAACTACCTTGAGGAAGAAAATTTTCCACATTTTGTTCAAAATTTGAAAAGTTTTGGAAAATAATAATGTAAAATCGGAAAAGTCAGGCGATAGTTCTGCATTATTATTGCAGAAAATATCGAGTTGGCAGAACTATTTTGAATACGTATTTTTATTCATATTTTTCAAAGTTTTCTGTCAGCCTAAAAACTTGAAAGATCGGGAGTGGCTTTAAAGTCACTTAAACACATATGAATAGAGGCTAATACAGTTCAGTTTTTCAATTCAGATTTTGTTTTCGAGGGACAGAACTTTCTTGAAAATATTAAGAAAGTCGTTTATGAACTTCGGACTTTTCAACCCTTCTAGAACTCTACAACAAAATCGAGCTCTATTAGCTTTTTAGTCACATATCTTTTACCAATCCGAGCCCTCTAGCATTTAATCTGGTGACGAAATTTAGACAATAAAAACTCTCTTGTTCAACCTAAACTTTAACCAGATCTCCGGAACCGTGTTAGTCGAAGCAGTCACAATTTTTTGATAGCTATGGTTTGAATCAACTAATAATCTCTGAAAAGTTTCATCGAGATCAGATTCGATAGTGGAGAAAACTTCTGCCATGAGGAGAATCTTAATTGAGGGTACTCCTTCCCTCTTTTTGGGCTTTCCGTAGAAATGCTGTGAAATAAAAACTAAAAGTCACTAGAGCTTCGCATTTTCAGAACTAATCGGAAACTCAATGAAGCACTTTTTCGTTCTTGTTTCAAGTTTTCAAGTATTGCCGTTCACCAGTTTTTCAGAAAACTCGGTTTTTCATTGTGCCGCATTACGATCCCCCTTAAATTTCATCCGATCGCGTTCAAAATTTTACCAGAAGTACTCAAGGTCATTCTGCAGAGCTAAAATTTTTCGGAAATTTTTTTCAGACCTTTCCTGGCCGAGTTTTAGGAAAAATACTGAAAAACGTCTCAAAAATCAAGTTTTTCAATTTTGGAAACCCTATAACTCGATAAAGAAAAGTCTAAAATAAAATTCCAAAAAAATAGCTCTGCAGAATGACCTTGAGTACTTCTGGTAAAATTTTGAACGCGATCGGATAAAATTTAAGGGGGGTCGTAATGTGGCACAATGAAAAACCGAGTTTTCTGAAAAACTGGTGAACGGCAATACTTGAAAACTTGAAACAAGAACGAAAAAGTGCTTCATTGAGTTTCCGATTAGTTCTGAAAATGCGAAGCTCTAGTGACTTTTAGTTTTTATTTCACAGCATTTCTACGGAAAACTCAAAAAGAGGAAAGGGGTACCCTTAAGTAACCAGTCTTTTTGAATGACATATCCTTAAATCTACAGTTTTGTACACTACCATATCCTTCCTCACCATGTATACTTTTAACTAATATCCTTGCTTCATATTCAAGATGTTCACTGGTGACTCGGAAGGAAATGTACTGAAATGGGAACAAACGCAATCGAATTTAATCATATATTCAAGTGAACGTCTATTAAAATTTGAAGCAACAAAGGCACAACTAATGGCAATGGTTGTTCAAGCAACGTCAATTGGTAGAAATAAAGAAAACGATGAACAATTCAATAGTGAACAAAGTCATTTATCAACATCATCGTTTCAAAAGCAAAATACATCTAATAAAAATAGTAAAATATCTGAACGCCAATTGCCAGTCTACCATGTACGAAATCGTCCGACTGGAAAAATGAAAAATCGTGAACAAGGAGTTGGTGGATACGTATCTCAATATACTCATTTACAAAAAAAACAATCGACATTGAATCAAACAGCAGTGAAATCGATTTTAAAAACAATATTTGTGGAAAACTATGATTTAATTATAGCCGCTAGTGAAGATACAAATATCTACGTATGGGGCTACGATTCAGAGGCACTTCATGCATTAATAATACTTCGTGATCAATTGGATGATACGCATGAAGGTAAAAGTCTCATTTCTTTCTACTCAACATTTGAATATTGTTAATCTTTATGATTTGTTTTTATAGGTGCCCAGGTTGCAAATCGTGTTTCTGGTTTTACATTACGTCATATATTTAGTCAGCATAATTCCCTTGTGACTTCAATAGCATTAATTGATGATGTTGAAACATTTGGAGACGTATTTTTGATAAGTGCTGGATGGGATCGTCGAATATGCACATGGAATTTAACTCATTTTATGTTAAATAGTATATTCTATAATTCAAATGCTACAACTGTTGAAGAAGCTGAAATAGCCAGTCCCGGAAGTATATTAGATTTAGCCTATAGTCCATCGTTGAAATATTTTGCTTATTCTACAAGTGATCAATCGGTTTATGTACGAAAGTTTTCAACAAAAGGTTATGATATGGACCTAATGTATGCGTTAAAATCTCAACAAGATATTGATATAACATGTATTCGATGGAATTATATTACAAATCAATGGATAACAGGATGCGAAGATGGTTCCATTCAACTATGGGTAAAATATTTTAAATTTACATTTTAAACTATGAAAAATATATTTTAATTTCTTCTATAGGATTCAGCTGGAGAATTTAAACACACAATAAATGTTCGTGGAAGTGTTCATGCGATTACAATTGATTATGTTCAAAAAGTATTATTAATCGGTGCTGAAGATACGTTAAAAGTTTATGATATGAAAGACTATACATGCTTACAAACAAATATGGGACATTCCGATATAATACGGTAGGATTTTGTTTAATAAAACATAATAAAATATATTCAAAGTTTTTGACTGTTGGATGCTTAGTTTATTGTAATTTGATATTCTAGTGATATTGTATTTATTCCTGAACGTGATCAATATATCACGGTTTCGTGGGATAAAACGATGCGCATATGGAATGCTTGGAGTCCTATATTATTGAAACAACAAGTAAAAATTGTTGATCCAAAAACACAACTTGCCCAACAATTATGGGAAAAACTTCATGGATTTGTTGAACAATCAGGTGTAATCGACGATGATGCAAATACTATTGTAGAAAAATATTTTCAAAGACAGCAAACATTTCATTATAATAGTGATGAACAATCACGTCAAATATCATCCGTTACAAAATGAAATCTGTCTGAAATGTTGTCAGCATCGGTGATTTCAATCTCTTGATATCTGATTTAGTTTTATTTTACTTTCTCATTTTTTATTTTGCAAGTAATTACCATAATCTCAATCGTAATGAGAATCTTTTTTGTTTTTAATAGTGCTGAAGTTTTTTTATCTGATTTTTTTTTGTTTTTTTTACATTATTAACGTTTCATCGAATTTTGTGGGTGACTTCCTTTTGTGCAAACAGAAAAGATATTCTATCGTATTCTTCCTATTCTGTATATATAACTATATTTATTCAGAGCATGTATTTCACTTGTTAAAGACACTAAATTTGTTTTGATAATAAATTAATGAATTATAACATCATTCATAAAAAGTTCTATTATTAAGTACAATCAATAATTCGATACTAATAATACTATGTACAATCTATTTTCTTTTTAGAAAAAAACTACAAATGTTTTCAGTTGAAAGCAATTATCGACTATCAAAACGTCCACAAACTGGAGGCGTAGTGACAAATTCACATTCTATGTTACCAGTTCGTATACTGAGTGCTCGAATACCATCTAAACCAATGATATCTCGAAAATTTCGTTTACCATATGAACATATTGTGAAACAAGTAACACATGAACATATCTTAGGTAAATAAATTATATTAAAAAGAAAATAAGATCACTAATTGAGATATTTACTCACACTATATTCGATATTTACTCACACTATATTCGATAGTAATTCAAATATAAAAAGTTAAAATTATGTTAAAAATAAAATTTGGATTTTGTATAAAAATAAATAAAAAAAACAACTATACGTTTAGATTAATGATCAATAAGATTTTATACATTTCAAAAGGTATGAATTTTTTTTCATATATATTTGTCACATCAAATATTTTCAATCATCATTGCTGCACTTTAATCACGCTTTTAAAAATAGAAATTGATCAAATTTTTATTTGAAATATTATCAAGTAGAAATTAAAGATTATAAAATAAATAGAAAAACTTTACAAATTTTCTGCAAACATCGATAAGATTATTTTCATAAATTTTCTTTAAAATGTATCCATGGACGCGATTACCAAAAACATTTTGAATACAATTTGTATAGTCTGAATTTCAAAAAAATGTTTGAAAAAAAAGCTTCATCTGCTATACTAACAATAAATATCGCTATTATAAGTGATGGAGAGCAAAATGAATGAAAATTATGTTATTTTTTGCAAGTAATTTGCGATATGTAGAAAAAGGAACAGGTTTGACATTTGAACAAATGAGATATTTAGATAAAACGCAAAAAAAAACAACTGCATCTAGTGGTATGAATAACTCGTGGAATTAAGTTGCTGTTTATTTGCAGTAAACTGAACAAGAACATATTAATATACCGTTTTCATTAATTTTGCTCTCCTAGCTCATATAAAAAGAAAATAGAAAATCGACTTTTTAAAATTTTATTCTACTTTCGTTGAATAGAGCATACATTCTTAAGTATTTTAATCGATTCGGATACTCTGGTGGAGTCAGTCACAGATGGAGAAAAAGTGATACAAGACATGAAATTGTACACAACAAAAGAAATTTTCCTACAACTTTCAAAACCATTTTTGACATTTATAATGGCGATGTTCGTTATTAGATTTTTTCAAAAACATTTTCAGATACAGACTAAACAGTTGTAGTCAGAATTTTTCTAGTGATCCAATCCATAGATACATTCTAGAGAAAATTTGTAACATGAAAATGACTTAATCGTCCTTCTTCACTTGTGTACTAGATGAAAGTGGCTATATTCAACTTATAGACACTTGTGATCTAGGGTAATGATTTGCTTTTCTAATAAAAAATATATTTTATAGCCATTATTACATTTAAACTTCAACAGTCGATTGTATAATGTGGCTATTTCTAAAGACTATGATTTTTTTATTAAGCAAAAAACAATGGAAACAATGGGCATAAATCAATTGAGTTCTCTCTTTCATTTATGCATGATTTAATTTTAGCACAAAATGTAGATCCACTTCGCTTTCATCACAGTTGTTGTTTTTTTCGTTAATTTAAGAATTTAATATGATTGCTATGCTTATTACCGCTATGAATACTATTTTCGTTCTCTCTATACCTTGTATTTTAATCATTTGATAAGATGTCGGTGATCAAATTCTCACACATATAAAACGTGATACGGATATTCAAATTAAACAAACTTATGAAAAATTAATTCAAGCAGAACGTTCTCGCTTAGAAGAGGAATATCAATTGAAAACAAATCAATTGAACTTGAAATGGAAAGAGCAATTGGAAACAGAAAAACATACATTACAAGAGGTGAAAAAAATGCATTATTAAAAACTTTAATCTTATGATAAGAACAACAAACAAGCAGTTCATTTAGATTGACATCACGATAAAAGATAAAAAATTATATTGCAATCATTTAGGATTATTGTGTGAAACATTGAACTTTATCAGCGATATTCTATCAGCTTTTCATACCCTAAAAACGACTGATGTTATTCTATTTAGGAGTTCAATAATTTATTGACTAATATTGATCAGAAACGTCATGAAACTAATAGAGAAAAGGAAAAAGAATTAATCAGACGAATGAAAGATGAATCAGAAGCTGCTCTAGCCCGTCAATGGCAATTGGCCAATGAACGTTTATCAAAAGTATGATATTCGATTATATTTAGCATTTCTAATTCTCTATATTATCATCTTAACAAAATATTGATATTCCTTTGACTACAAAACTATGTGAATAAAATTGTCTTATTTTCATTAATATTGTTTGAATCTTAATTTCAAAAGGCTGTTGAAGATACTGAACGACGTACACAAAGATTAATGGAATTGCAATTTATTCAAGAGAAACAAAATGTTATTGATGAAACTGTTGCCAAAATGGAGGTATACATCAGAATAGATGTGAACATTAATAATTGACTATAATATTTTAGATTGAATACAGTCAAAGAGAGCGTATTGCATTACAAACATTGAAACAAGAATTGGAAGAAAAACATCAACTTCAAATTCGAGAAATAGATGAAAGTCATAAAAAACAAATAGATGAATGGAAAACGAAGTAAGTTAAATTATCGATTAAAATATTGAAGATTAATGATAAATAATAACACGATATAAACGACATGAAACTGTTAAACATATTTTTTTTTCTTCTTTTATTCTTTAGAAATAAATTAACTGAAAAAAAATTTCATCAAGAATTTAACGATCGTGTTCGATTAGAAAGTGATTTTAGAGTAAATTATAACTCGATGAAAAAATGATGATTCTTATATTGTATTCATTTTTATTCTCATTTTAGTTATTACAAACAGATTATAAACGTTTCATGGATTATACTAATTTTTTTCACTCTGATTATTTATTGAAATTACATCATGTTGGTCAACAGTTAACATCAAAAAAGATTTGTGATACAAAATTTGAACAAATTCTAGATCGTATATTAAATGAACTAAATCAAACATCATCAACAACATTGCCGTCGAATTATTCAAGAAGCTCTTCTCTAAAAGTTTCAAAATGTTCGTTAAATATACGTGATAATTAAATGCATGCTGCAAGATCAACAGACAGTCACTGAAATTCGATTTTCTGTATCATTAATGAAATTATTTAATCTTTTTTTGTTTTCAAGAAAAAATTCTTTGTTACTGTGCTATTTATTTGTATCATATCATATATCTCAAAATGTATAAATAAAATTTAGTTGTATAACAACTAAAAATAAAAATTATTGCAAGAAGAAGTATACTCTCTCATTAAGAACCAGAATCACGGTTTCATAGACAGTTTCTGTTTTTCGGAACTAAGACTTTTTGACTTGTCTTTCTTTTAACAAAATGAAAACACACTATTGACAAAGCTATAAAAAGACATATTTGTCTCTCATCATTTAAAAGAATCCTTTCGTTTACTATAAAATGAATTCTATTTCGTTGAATTATTACTGCTTGAAAAACTACTTTCCAGCTCTAAGCTGAGAACCGAGAACTGCGAACTTGTTCTAAGTTCGGAACTGGAACCGCAGTTCCTTTCGTTTTGATTCTAACCCGAGAACTGAATATGTCTACTCTCAAATAGTGAACTAACTAACTTATATTTTGTTCATTTTTATTCTCATTTTGGTTATTACTAGCGTTTGAATTCAAAAATTTATTCCTAATGATTAAAAAAAATGCTACATAATTTATCTCATTGACTGATTAGTGATTCGGATAAAATAGCACATTTTTATAACAGATGTCAAACATGTACGTTCTGGATAAAAGAGCCATGAATGCTTTTGTATAATTATTATTCTTCAGTACTTGAATAAAATAATTGAATTTATATCCCCTCCCATCCAGAAAAGTTGACTTCAGTCTAAAAAATCAATTTAGAGAAAAACACATGCTTAGATAGAACAATAACTCTCCTCTTCTTAATGGGATATTTCTAATCTCAATAATAACAGATTTTTATAGTTTTCTAAAGCTATATGTAAAAAGGTAGCTTTACATATTTACACAAAATTCACAATTACCTATTTTCGAACAATCAACATACCCGTAAAGGTTTTCGACTATGCTAAATCTGCTGTCATGTGCCGAAACATATGTGATATATTCTTCAACATTTTCATAGAATATTTCAATAAAAAAGCAATATTTTGTCACGAAAGCAATGCTGTCTCTAGGTTACAGAAAAATGAGTTTTCTGTCAGTCTAAAACCTGGAAAGATCGGAAGTGGCTTTAAAGTCACTTAAACACATATGAATAGAGGCTAATACAGTTCAGTTTTTCAATTCAGATTTTGTTTTCGAGGGACAGAACTTTCTTGGAAATATTAAGAAAGTCGGTTATGAACTTCGGACTTTTCAACCCTTCCAAAACTCTACAACAAAATCGAGCTCTATTAGCTTTTTAGTCACGTATCTTTTACCAATCCGAGCTCTTTAGCATTTGATCTGGTGACGAAATTTAGACAATAAAAACTCTCTTGTTCAACCTAAACTTTAACCATATCTCCGGAACCGTGTTAGTCGAAGCAGTCACAATTTTTTGATAGCTATGGTTTGAATCAACTAATAATCTCTGAAAAGTTTCATCGAGATCAGATTCGATAGTGGAGAAAACTTCTGCCATAAGGAGAATCTTAATTAAGGGTACTCCTTCCCTCTTTTTGGGCTTTCCGTAGAAATGCTGTGAAATAAAAACTAAAAGTCGCTAGGGCTTCGCATTTTCAGAACTAATCGGAAACTCAGTGAAGCACTTTTTCGTTCCTGTTTCAAGTTTTCAAGTATTGCCGTTCATCAGTTTTTCACAAAACAGTTACAGAAAAATGTAGTGTCTATCTACATAGATGTGCACAGTAACAGGTGTTTTTGAATTATTCATGAAAATACATAGAATTGTATATGCCAAAATAGGTATCACACATGTCTCTGCACATGCCTATCAATTTCAGTGTAATTGAAAACTTATGACAAAGTATCTTTACCTTTTTTTTGACAGATAGTTTCTTCAGATAAAACATTTTATAACTTCAAAACTTGTTGTTTTTGTACTCCGCATCGAATTTGGTCGTTTTCATTTTCAGCGCTTAAAAAGTTTCTACTTTTCCTGTGATGCTACAAAGTTCGGGGGGATTTTATTTTATAGAGAAAACTATTAGAGAAAACAAAGAAGCCTGATTAAAATTTTTTTTGTTAAAATGTTAATTCTAACTTGAAACTCTCTAAACCGTGTGTAAGTTTCCTCTACAGAACAAAACCCTTCCGAACTTTGTAGCGCCAAAGAGAAAGAAAAAATCTTTGAAATTCATTCCATGAGTCCAATTTTAGTTTTGAAATGCATGAATCGAAGTGACTACTGTAAACTATTTACGACATGTTCAATCTCCACCTTAACCTGACTGAAAATAGATTTTTAAAGATGGGTCGACTTTACAATATATGAGTAGGATGAAAGAACAGGCACCCATCAGAATGTATTGGCTCTGTCAATAGGTATATACACTACATCATTTCTTCTCGCAAGCGATGAAAACACCGTTGTCATGCATGTATCCTTTGTACAATGCTTCAACACAATTACAATAGAATGTGTTTATTGATTCACTAGTTATGTATTAAGGTTTCAATCGATCAGATTCCATTTCCTATTACAACAGTGTCTATCTCTCTCTGTTCCATCCAAGTGAGACGTCTGTACTGGTAGTACGTGTTCAAGATCGTCTCTCGGATGCCAAGTTTATTTAGGACATCAATTAAATCTAACCCATAATCAACATAAACATAAATAATTCTAATTCTTCGATGAATGTTATATTATTGTAGATTCAAAAGACAAGCTATTTTAAATTACCAAAGCAGAAAATTCGAAAACGTATATTTATTTAATTATACTTGTTGGTGTATTCCCGATTCGTCGACATATTAATTTTTTTCCTGAGTGGTCGATAACGTTTTGGGCGGAGAGATGAAAGATGTAAGTGAGCCGCCGACAGTATAAAGTGTCGATGAATCGGGACTGAATCTACTTCTTAGCTATTGACTGGATAGAAAATTATTTTTGGTATCCTCGAGTTTTTGCAGATAAAGGGTAGCCCAGAAGTCCTGTCTCGATTTGAACAATATGTATTCTTCAGATCAAGATAGGACTTCTGCACCACCCTTTATCTACATATTTATGACAACAGATCCGATGAAAAAGAGAATCAGCATTTGTCTCTACTGTTATTTTCTGAAATACACTAAATCAAAAGTGAAATATTATGTATTCACAACGATAAACACCATCCTCTATTTTTCAATGAATCTCATATTGATTCATCTTTCATGCGTCTGATTAATTCTTTTTCATTTTCTCTACTACTTCTATGACGTTTCTAATCAATATTGGTCAATAAATTGTTGAAGTCATATATAAATTCCAATACCAATGTCGGCAAACACCTTTCGGAGATCACGCTTAAAACGATAAGCAATTAGAGCTCATTTGGTTTAATAAAAAAGAAAAAACGACAACCCTTCTATCTGAATGTAACAAATATACAAAAAAAGAAAAAATAAGTTTCGCATATAACATCATACACAGAGAAGAGAACAAAAAATATATTTTCATAGAGATATAGAATGTTTCTTTGTTTTTCGCATAATAATCTACTGAACAAAAGACAATCACATTTGACACCGATACAAGAAAAGGCTAAACATAAATAAAATCGAACAAAGACATGAGTTATGCTAATGAGAACAAGACAGGAAAACAAATTAACATCCTATCCACAGGGATTTTACTACAGAAAGGTTTAGAAGTTAAAGTGAAACGTTCATCCTCAATTTTGACCATTCACTATTCTTTTCTCAACTTTTTTAGCCATTGTAGAGACCTAAAGTAAAATAAATCAGGTTGAGTGATTCTACATGAACATATCATATTCTCCCATCTACCTGACTGCTTAACAGCCATTTGTAATAGATACTGGGCATGTGTTATTTGTTGTTGTGTACCGGTTATTGTGATAATACGATCATTCGTCTCTAGCGGATCGTCGATACGAATTCCTTTAATTGAAAACAAATGTTCCGATTAGAGTATAAAACACATTATACAACACTTACCAGCTCCTGACTGCTTTCGTATTTGCGATATTCTCGTGCCCCTAGGACCAATAATCGCACTACATAAATCATTGGGAAGTGTTACTTGTGTTGTAATTGAGTCACTAGCAGGTTCGTGATTTTGACCACGATAACTATTTGAATTTATTCCACCACCACCACCACCCATATGATGATTATAGCCACCACCATAATTATTTTGTCCTTCATTATAATTCCCACTTAATTGACTAGGATTATAGTTTCCACCTCGACTATCACCTTCATATTCTTGTCTAGCGCGATTTCCTGCTGCGCCTATAACAGAATGAAATTTGTCTGTAATGATGAAAAGTAATACAAGAAAAGAGACTTACGCCAAGGACCCATCTCTCCTTGATCAAAAAAGCCACCTAAAAAGAGACGACAGTATAATCAAAGGCCAAAACAAATGCATCGCCTGTTAAACACATACCATACTCCTCAACATTATAACCATCATATGTAAACGGATCATAAAGACGACTTGGTCCTCTAATAGGAGTTTGATCCAAAATACTATACACTTCTAAAAATGAAACAATAAAGCAATAAACATTGTCAAATATGCGTCTGTATTTAATGTGATTTCACCTGTCAGACAACGTAGAATATCGATTTGAGCTCCACGTAATGAAATCACTCTTTCTGTTGAGTCACCCGGACAAACTTGAGGGAAAACTTTTGTATCAAGACTATACTTTTGCCTAGAAAAAAAAATTCATTATACAAAATGTAAAGCATATATTCAAGGAAAAAAGGCTGCGCTCAAACAGACAGTGTCAGAGGCAACTAAAAAGTTCTCAAAAATAGTAGCTTACCGTAATTCTTTCACTCTGTCCCCTCCCTTTCCAATAATTGCACCTTAAAATAAGATAAATGAGCCTATGTAGCCTAATCTTAGTCATATTTATCCATAACTGCTTCTTACCCGCTTGACTTTGATGAATAAGAGCCCGTAATTCACATTGATCTTTTCGAGCTCTTTGATTTTCAGCCATAGTTGGTAAAACGTCTTTTAAAGTGTCTAACACCGCATCTACATCGCCACTTATTGTCAGAATACGCTCGGGGCCATCGCAATCAGGAACTTGTATAATTGTTTTGTGTTTACTTCGAAGGTTTTGTATATTATGTCCACCTAATAAAACGAAACATTACAATGTCTTTTATCAAGAAAACAAAGTTACTTTTACTTACCACGTCCGATTATTGAACCGGCATCACTACTGGCCACTAAATAACGATAATCATTCTTTGCCACACGATTGCGTTTTCTAAAATCTTGCTGGTCGCCATCTTCATTACCACGTTTTCTATTTTCCATCAGTGATAATCGATTTCACAAATACTTTTTCAATTTCTGTATTCTTCAAAATAAATAAGGTAAATTAATAGTAATTATTCGTGAGGAAAACAGGAAAACCCGACAAACTGTCGAAGATCTAACTTCTCACCACACTCCAAGTATTATTTTGATATCTTAACAGTTATGCATTAGTATATGGTAAAACTACAAATGTCAAGACTTTTCAAACTATAAAATAAATGAAGCTCCCCAGAAAAAATCAAATCAACATTTCCAGTTAGTAGTAACTTAGCACAAATATACACACAGTAGAATTCTTTCAGATACTTTGACAATAAGTTTCTATTCTGAGTGACTAGTAGAATGCAAGGAAAAAAAAACAGAAAACGGAAGATTTTGAAAAAAATTTACTTCTCTAAGATTTATGCGTCAGCTAAAATTGCAAAAGAAACGTAGAATGAGTTATCGCGGTTGAGTTTATTTGTTGATCAAATACACGAACATAAGTGAGAAAATATACAAAGTAACAATCTAAGTCTACATAAGCACTTGCGATTCTACTCTATCGCTACTCGTTAGCACTTAATTTCCTTATCGGTCAAATTTAATTTGGAGAAAAGGATAAAATAAAAGATAACGAAACGTATACTAGTCAGCGTAACAAACACGAAAATAAACAGATTTTTTTATTGCTGGATTATGTAACAGTGAAACTTAGAATATGATCTTTTTTTAGCGTTACTTCGAATTAGACATAAGATAAAAAAAATCTGAGTATATTGGTATTTAGTTCACTTGTGACAGATGTGCCATCACTATTCGCTTAAGAATTGTTTGCAATATTGGCCAGTCGGATAGGCAAAAAGGCAGATGTCTGTATATGCATTTAGTATATTCTTCCTCTGCCCATGAATGTCCTCTAATCGTGTTTGTCGTCTAGAAAACAGACAGAAAAAGGCGATAAGGGCCGCCAGTAAGCTTCTCAAAAATACAAGAAAAAAGCTTACCACGAGATTAAGCGACTTTTTCCTCGAAAATAAACACTAACCACCTTAATCTGAAGTTAAGGTTAGCTGCGTTTGAGCAGAGAACAAACTAAATTTTAAATTAGGCATACCTAATAAACTGCGTATAGACACATTTCTAATGTAATTGATGCCCTCTGTATTACCTAGAATGAAAGATATTAAAACAAACGTGTACAAATCGTTCAAAGTAACTTTCTCAAAAACTGAAAATGTGTGAGTATCCGTTTTAGTTCGGAAAAAGACGATATTTTACAACTGCTAAATTATCTTATAAAATCATATCATACCGAATCATGTGGATTTCTTCGCGTTTGTACTTATGAATACTTGAACAATAAATATAAATATCAATACAATTTAAATCGAGAGCAAAATTGTTGCTCATCATCTTTTCAATTCCGCCAAGAAAAATAGGTAATCTAAAATCAAACAATAATTAATCTAAATCTGATTGGTACTACTCGTTCGTCTGCATTTGAAATGACAAGAACTAATACATGTTAAAACTAACATAAGAGCAAACTAAGACCTTGCGAAATTTTTAAAGAAATACATAAAACAATGACCGCAAAGTTTATAGACACAACGTGCTAACATCATCTTCTTGAGTGGATCAAGATAACTTAGCAAGAAATTCTGGCGAGAGAGCTCTCGCTAGTTTATCGTCTTTCTCATTGGTTCATCATATGATAGCGAGAAATATGATCGAGATAAACTTCTTTTTTTAAAGTTATCGAAATTCGTGAATAGTTTTTATTAATTAATAGTGTAAGATATTTATAGAATACCAAAATTTCTTAGTGTTTCATCTGTGATAAAACTTTTATTTATTGACCAAGGGGGATCTTGTCACTTTTTCCATTGGCCGCTGCGGTATTGCCGCCCCATTGTTATGTTACATTTGTGTATCACATCAGAGAGAAACCACACTGTCCCAATCACAAAATGTTAGTGTAAATATGTAATAATGTCATGATAAAGTGCCAAAAGTGCGATAATGTTACCGTAACATTGTTACACTTTTAGCATGACATTGTTACACATTTACACTAACATTTTGGGACAGTGTAGTAGCGTTGAAAAAGAGTGAATAATGAAAAACAAAAAGCGAAAAATAAGAGTGAGAAAGAACTCCGGTCCTTGGCGTATGAATTCGAAAAACAAGAGCGTTTACAGAACATTTAAGTGTCATTTAATAGAACCATTCTTACCGTGACCTGATGCTGTTACCAAATCCAGACGTGATGACAATGAATTCTGGTGAAATATATTTCTATCTTGTTGATTGAAATCTGATGGGTCACCACAAATACTATTTCCACAAGAACCAACGTTAATTATACTATCACAAAAGTCAAAGTCAGTTGCGTGTCTTCTTTGATCGAGTCGATCCATCTTGTTCGTTGTCTTTCTCTTCTTCTTTTTCCTTCGATCTTTTCCAGCATTATTGTCTTTTTCAGCGAACCATGATCTGCCCGAAGAATGATACCTTCAGTTTGAGCATGGTAGATTCCAGTGAGCCATCTGATCTCGTCGGGGATCGACCAGTTTGTTCTCTTGGCCGTCCGTGGCACTCGAAGTATTCGTCTCCAGCACCATAGCTCGAAGGAGTCGACTTTTCTTCGGTCTTGTTTCTTCATTGTCCAGCTTTCGCAGCCATAGGTGGTTATCGGAAATATCATTGCTTTGACGATTCTTTTCTTGGTATTCAGGTTGATGTCCCTGCTTTCCATCAATTTGTCCAGATTGATTGTCTTCCTAGCATTAAGCGTCGACTTACCTCGGGACTGCAGTTTCCATCGTTGTTGATTTGAGATCCAAGAAAAATGAAGTCTTCAACTACCTCGATCTTGTCGCCGTCAACTGTGAATTCTTTCATAGGTCCATTTGTCATCACAAAGGTTTTGCTCATGTTCAGCTTCAACCCAGCAACGAGGCTTTCCGTTTTCAACTTCTCAGGAGACATTTCAAATCGTCAACCGATTCGGCCAGTAGTGTGGTATCGTCTGCGTACCGCAGGTTGTTGATGTTTCTCCCGCCGACTTTTATTCCTTCAGTTGTTCCTTCCAAGCCGGCTTGTTTCATTCTATGTTCGGCGTAGATATTGAAAAGATATGGAGATAGGATGCATCCTTGCCGTACTTCTTTTCCGATGTTGAACCAGTCCGTGTTACCGTATTCTGTCTTCACTGTTGCTTCTTGATTGGCGTACAGGTTCTTGATCAGCTCAACCAGGTGCTTTGGTATTCCCATCTCTTGAAGAACGTTCCATAATCTTGTGTGGCCCACGCAGTCGAAAGCTTTGCCATAATCGATAAAACACAGAAATACTTCATTTTGAAATTCTCTTGCTTTCTCCATGATCCAACGTAGATTTGTGATTTGATCTCGTGTTCCTCGGCCTCTTCTAAATCCTGCTTGTACGTCTGGGAGCTCCCGTTCGATGTATGGTTGAAGTCTTCCTTGTATGACTTTCAGCATTATCTTGCTAGCATGGGAGATGAGGGCGACGGTGCGATAATTCGAGCAGTCTTTGCCATTTGTTTTCTTTGGAATGGGTACGAATATCGATCTTTTCCAATCATTGGGCCATTGTTTGGTCTTCCATATCTGTTGACAAAGTGTGGTGGGAACTTTGATTGCATCGTTTCCCAGAGCCTGTATCAGTTCGATGGGAATTTCGTCAACTCCTGGTGCTTTGCATTTGCTCAGGGCGTTCAGTGCCCATTGCACTTCGCTTGGTAGGATTTCCGGTTCCACTTCATGGTTGTCTTCGTGCGCTGCCTGAGCTGCAGCGTCAGGGTCTTCGCATTTGTAGAGAGCTTCGGTGTATTCTCTCCATCTGTTCTTGATCTGCTCTCCGTCGAATAGTTGTGTTCCTCGATGATTCGTGATGATTGCTTTCCTAGATGTAAAAAGAGTTTTCAATTCTCTTACCTTTTTAAACAGGTCTCTTGTTCTGCCCTTTTGATTATTCTCTTCAACTTCTATACATTGTTGATTTATCTGTGCTTGTCTGTCTTTTCGCGCTTCGCGTTGGAACTCGGCGTTCAACTTAGCAAACAGCTGTTTGTCGCCTCTGGGTTTTGCTTCTCGACGTTCTAGTACAATTTTTAGCGTATTTCTAGAGATCCACTTTGGTTTTTTCTTTGTTTTGACGGCTGGTATTTGTCTCTTAGCTTCTCCGGTGATAATGTCGCGGATCTCTGTCCATAGATCCTCGGGTTCCCTGTCAAGCAAACTGAGTTCATTGAAGCGGTTGCCTACTTTGACTTTGTATGAAATTGGGATGTTGCTCAGGTCGTATTTGGCTGCTTTCACTGGTTCGTGATTTTTTTCTCAGCTTGATTCGAAACGAAGCCAGCAGAAGTTCATGGTCTGAGCCACAGTCTG